GGGGGGGGGGAGAGAAAGAGAAGGAACGGAACACGGTGAGAGCGAGTGATTATTTTGGCCCGACGGGAAGATGGTAATCTCGCTCCCGCTTTCGAATCGTATTTACCCTGGCCGACGGACGATTCCTTCTTCTCGCGCGCGATTTTCTGTTCTATTTATAATCTCTTATTTTCCTTATATCCTGAGGTAGTCACGATTCCACTTGCGATTCACTTGTTACTCAACGTTGACGCGGGCTTTTTTCTCCCAGTCTCGTTTCAAATGTCAACTAAGACGTCAGTCGGAATTTATTTGTCACCGTTCCGACTTCGAGGTAGTCTCGTCGGGTTTTAAAGGCCTCAACACACACACACACAAACAGGACGTAACTCGCTCTCTCCGCGGAGGATCGCCGAATTGTCGGCGCAGCCGACTTTTGTAACGCGCGGCGAAACGTCCGATGCGCCTTTGTTTACCTGGCGTGACTTGACCGCGCGACAACGTCGACGGGGGTCCCCGATCACTTGCTGGCGCGGAGCGGAGCACCGCCAGCGAGCAGACTTGAGCGAGCACGGAGAGCGAAGAGCGAGCGGCCGCCCGTACGTCCGCCAGCCATGAACCTTCTACTCTGTTATTATTGTTTTGGTCGGGCGGCGCATGCGCCTCGTCGCCTTCCCTCCCGCCGGCGCCCCGCGCTCGCCGGTTCGTGTAAACAAACCGTTAACTCTCACGGGTGCCCGGCGAATCGATAATACTCCTCGCCTCGCCACTTCCCCGTTCCGTATTCTCCCTCCCTCCCTCCTGCCGTTCGTTAAGAAAGCAAGCATGGATCGCTGTCGAGCGTAAAAACGCCTTTGTCGCGTTTGTAGGAATGCGCCGATAAGACACCTTCGATACGGGCGTTTCATAATTCATAAACGTGTGGCGTTTGTAAACCTTTTTATTCGGACATCTTTTTCGGAAGCCTGGCGATTGCTGGCGATTTTGAACGAAATTTGAGACAAAGCGGGGGACGAGGAGCGAAGGACGAAAGGGCAACACGTCGATGAGGCGGACAGGAGAGTGGAAGGGAGAAAGGAGGGAGGGAACATCGATGCGCGCGGATCAAGGTTACACTCGGGCACCTCCTCTACGTCATCCCTCGTCATCCGCGTTTATACGCGCGTGCGCTCAGCGTGCACGCACACACACGCTTGTCCTTGGGACGAATCATTCATTCGCGCGTCCACGTAATGCCCCGCGCGTATTATGTCCACTCGCCGATCGGATTTCCTCTAATAAGTTAAAAGAATTAAAAGGACGAGACCATACTCAAGAATTGACAAGAGGGAGGAGGAGGGTAAAAATTTATCCTCACGCAAAACTGTGTGTGATTAAAATATTTATATTAAAAGCAACTTTCAAGACTCTTCGTGATCGCAGTGAAATTTATTATGAATAATATATATTAAAAAAGCCATGAATTGAGTAATAAGTGTTCAACATTTCATCGCAAATTCAGTCTGTTTCTCCTTATCAACATTTGTTGGCTCCCTTCCTCTCTATGTATGCCTATGAGCAAAACTAACGTCTCAAAGGGAATAAACAGCTAGTATTTTATGGAATATATTTACGATATACTGTGTGTGTATACGTTTCAATTATATTAATTGAAAAAAGTACAAAAATAAGTTTGGAATATCGAATACCTCTTTTCCCGTCTCTCTATACAATTGATTAATAAATCATTAATGTATTAATTCAGTTTACTTTCTACGGTATCTCTAAAGTGAGACTCATTCACTTTTTGTTTTGCTTCTTCGTATCTCATTCTTAATATATCGGGTTCTGCCAAGAATCTCTGCCATAAAATGTCCTTCTCACGTTCTAAATTAGCATCCATCCTCTGCAATACGAGAATCATTAGCAAATGTCATTATTAGCAAATGTGTTTTCACAAACTATTAATATATTTTTAGCGTTATACCATTCGTTCTTTGAACTGATTCCTAATTTTTGTTATATCTCCTTGAACCTGTTGAACGACTGTAGACATTTCCTCGCACTTGGAACTTATTTCGTATGAAGTTGCTCTGAAGCTAATCGTCGGTCCATTTCGCGTCTCGGCTGTGTAATCCTTGTTAATTTCGTTCTCTCTAAACCCATACAAGTATTTATTGGACATGTCCATAGAAAAACAACGTATCGTCAATACATGAAATTATTAATAGCACTTACAATTTGCGTAATTTGTCGAGTTTATCATTCAGATACGTTTCCAGTATTAATTCCTTCTTCTTCGCGTTGTCAGCTATTAAGTCATCGTATCTTTTCAACGCAGTAGAGAACGACGATTCATTCGAAATATCGTCACCGAGTATCATAGATATAAATATTTTATTAAACGCATTGTACGTTTTCGGAGATTGCATTATCATTGTCGCATATTTGTCCTGTTCTTGCTGCATGACCTCCTACACATTTCATTATGTTTCTATGATATAATAGTGTAAATTATTTTTATTAAAATAATTCCAAATTAAGAGAGAAATACATTAATACTAACACATCTTGCAGAAGAAAGCTTATATTCCGTGAGAATGTAATGACGAGCGTCAGCGATGAATTCAGTAACTTCGCGCAGGCGGCAAAATTGCATTTCCATTAATAAGTACAACAGATCCACATAAACGTGTCCGTGCTTTCCTGTGAGAGAATATAGATTCTTGAGCTTCTCGAGACGAGTTTTCCTCCGTTCGAGACGGGTGAGGGCGTCGTTCTTCAAGATCTTTATCGTCTCTATTTCCGCATATTGTACTACTAGTTCTGGTAATTGTTGATCTCGCAGAAGCTCAATATTCTGCTCCAAGATATCCCTCTTTATAGTTAACGTTTGTATTTCGTCGCTGTTTATAAATGAAATTTAATATATAAAACATTGTTTACTTTGTTCTATGTTCAAACCACATGTATAAGTGATTATTCTTAGTATGAAATAATCGATTTAATCTGATTTAACATGAGTAGTATTTTTACTTACTGTAATTTACTATTCTCAGGCACTTTTACAATTCCACCATTGTAAATATCCTGTACGCATTGTAACATGGCCATGTAACATTCCTCTTGAACACTAGCATTAATCTCTTGTAATTTAGCATTGCTTAAGCTGTACAAAAAATAAGAAAAAATACAATTATGTTTAATCAATTTTTAAAAAAGAATATTTGCCTATTTACCCACTTTCTTTTACATATATTTAACTCAAGCATCCTTTCATCCGTCTGTTTGTCCCTACTGTCATTTATTAGAGATCCGTAATCTGAATCCTCTTCTTGTACTTCCTTGTTAGCACTAGTTCCAAATTGCTTCTTTATATGAATACCTAGATAATGATTGTTAAGTTCTATTTGTTTAATAAACAAGTCAATAGGCATTTGTGACCACAACACCGCACTGCCTTGCTGAAAGAGAAAATAATCAAATAACTTGTAAAATTAGTTAGAAAATTTGAGATAATCACATTCTTCAAATAATTACATTCTTAGCAGCACTGGCATACACATTTAGAAGACTTTCTACATCCTTCGAAAACTGACAATTATCTTTATCAAATTTTTTCAGAATGACACTGCAATCATCGTATGCCTTTTCTGTTTCAATCTGTTCTTTATTGAGTAAGATCTCGGCTTCTTCAATGTTATCATCTAGTTTATTCTCAACTTCTCTACAAGTTATTTCTCTAAATTATATATCTGTTATATAAATGCTCCAAAAGAAGAGAAAACATTTACAATCCTTACTTCAAAGTTTTTATACTATGTCTCAATGACTGAAGGTACTCTTCATCGACCTTGTAGCTTTCCTTCAATGTTTCGTATTCCACAAATAGATCCTCTCGATATGTATCATCTACATCGACAAGTTTCAACAAATTTGGACAATTTTTGGTAGCTTCCTCCAATGCAGCATCCAACGCTTCACCTTCTAACATTTCGCTTGCATCTTCCAATGTATTTTTTCTGTAAAAGAAGAAAAAAATCGTCCAAAATCTAGTTTAGTTTATCTCAGTCAACTGTGGTTTGTAAATAAAAAAAGTGTCTTACAATTTTATCTCCTCGTTGGAGAGAATATTGGCACTGCTCACATTCTTGCAGAACCACTCCAGAAAAGGCTGCGTGCTCGGATCGTCGCATACTTTGCTCAAGAGCTCAGGTGTGATCCCCGATGACAAATCTGGACGTAATCCGCGAAGTTTATTGTAGAGCAATTTACCGGTGATACTCATCTCAGTGATGCGATTTCCAACAGGCGGTGTTCTTCCCACTATAGGTTATTGGCCATTGTCAACAATGTCAACGAATGTTTACGAACATCAACAAACGTTTACAATACGCCGTTTCCACAAGTTTTCAGTCAATCTCACATTACATAGAGATTAAATAATTTATCTCATAGCAGAAAAATAATATTGTCCTTGATTTGACCAATTTAACATCCGTTTGAATATTATTAGTGTGACCAGTGAATAAATTCGATTGGCCGAAACTGTAAAATATGATTGCGCCATCTTTTTAAATTCTTGTAATTAATGTCGATAAATATTAATGATCGATAAAATCATCCGTAAGTATATCGACCATTGATAAAATTAGAAATAATTTTATCGCTGTTTATACTTTTTATATTATTGCAGATATTTGACATTAAAAAGATTGATTAAAATAAATTAATATTAAAAAATGTCAAAACGTATAACCAAATAAAAAAAAATTACAAATGTCTCAAATATTTTAAATATCAAATCAGAATATGCTCCAAAATTTTAAGATGACGTGTCAGACTTTTCCTGTAATTTTTCTGTAAAAAAAATTTTACAGAATTTATTCTGTGAAATATTTATAATTATATACAATATCATTATTATATTTTGTAATTAAATCTTTTTGCAATATTCCCGAATAATCAAATATATAATAAATTTAATCGTCCAAAATCATTTCAACACTAAAAATATATAGATAAGAATTTTACATCGTAAATCTTTTTTATATTATAAATATGCATTGTAAAAAATTGCAAAATGCGGTTAGGATTAATTGTTATTGCACAAAAATTCTGAAAAAAAAAAAAAAGATATTTTCCTTTAACGTAATTATTATAAAATATAATAATTTAACGAAAAGTTATATTAATTCCATATATTATTCTAGATAACAAAAATAATTATAAGAATTCTAATAACAATAAAGAAAATTACAAAAGAATTTTGTGCATTAAATAGTATGAAAACGCACACAACAATTATAATAAACTAGGATTAATTGACAAAGATAAAAGAAATTTTTTACGTCTTTTTTTTAGAATAAAACATTTTGTTCCTTTTATACGTGTTTTCAACATGCGCTTTAAATAGTATTATTATAAAAATAATGTTTAAAATATGTTAAAAACATCGATTAAGAAAATGCGCGCAGTATTGTTTAAAAAATGTTTTTTATCAACTTTACAGTAAAGTGAGTCGTGATGCTCAAGATGTCATTTGGTGTGTGCCTGCATGTGCCTGTGTGTGGTGACTGGTGAGTGGGCAAGAAAGTGAGAGTCAGAGAGGGAGAGAAAGAGAGACGAACTGAGACGAACTGAGGTTTGGAGGTATTTTTCTTGGGTGATCGGGTTTTGAGTTCAGTGAGAAAAATCCTTCTGAACTTGAGGTTGCCGCGATGGATCGCGAACTGGTCGACAAATTCATCGAAGTGACGGGTAAGCTACATTATTGTGTGTAAGTTAGCGCGTAAGTTATCGTTCAGGTTAAAAACGCGATCATAACCGCAGTTAATGTCGATGTGAATCGCGACGAAGCCACAAATTTAAATGCTGGGAACGATATCCGTTGTGGATGAGCGCGGGTGACGTGCTGGATGTTCAGTTTGTGTCTTCCATTTAGGCGAGAGCGAAGCGACGGCTCAGCAGTACCTGACGTTGGCTGATGGAAACGTGGAGATGGCGATCAGCTTGATGTTCGAGGGTGGCAGACCACCGGAGATCGAGAACGCAAATCCTGAACCACCTGTGAGGGCTCCGATACTTCCCACGCGCGAGATTCTAGTACCCTCAGATCCAATGTGTTCATTGCCACAGTTGTCGAATAATGTGTTTGATAGATTCAGAGATTTTGCAGTGGAAACCCGTACGTATTATCATATATCAATTACAAATATATATGATGCACATATAATACATTTTTGAGGCTGTATTTTCAAATTTACTGCTAGTGCTGACAATCTATAGTTTATATCTCATATAATACATATCTAATGATTAATACAGAGAGACAAGAGGAAGAGATGACTCGTCGAGTAACTGGTGCAAAGCAAATGTCTCAGAAGAAATCTAAGCGGCTGGAAGATCTATTCCGACCACCATGTGATATTCTCTTTTTGGGATCCTTCATGGAAGCACGGGACCATGCGAAAACTTTAAACCGTTGGCTGCTTGTGAATGTTCAGAATCCACAGGAATTCAGTTGTCAGGTTCTCAATAGGGACGTTTGGCCTAATGAGCATATCCAAGAAATTGTCAAGGATCACTTTGTCTTGTGGCAAGTATGTTGTATCAGAATATCATGCCATGTTTATATTCACCATGTTTATATTCTGATTCATTGAGCTACATTTGTTACTTTCAATCAGGTCTTATCTAATACTTCGGATGGAAAACGTTATATAGACTTTTACAATGTGGTGGCATATCCTTATCTGGCGATTGTAGATCCTAGAACAGGAGAGTGTATGAAAGCTTACAACAACATTACTGTGGACAGTCTGATCTCTGATTTAAATGATGTTCTGAGCACACATCCATCTCCAGAAAGTGCTACATATGTTTCATCTGACTCTAAAGATTGGAATAATTTTCCTACAACACCTCCAAAACGAAATACTGTAGCTGATCAAACAAAGAATGTTAGTATTTCAATTTTATAATTTTCTTTTTTCGTAATCAATTTTTTATTGTAATGTTTGCTTTTTCAGGATTGTGGACCTAGTAGCAAAACTTCTAGACTTTTATCAGAAAAAGTTACGTGTTTGGGTTAGTATCTATAAAATAAAAAATAACTATGTTTATAAAATTATATATTAATTTGTTTAATTTACTAAACAAACTGTATACACAATAGCATTTTAATTAACGTCTGTTAATATTGTGTTATATACACAGGGAACGAGAATGTAGCATCTGACAACACTACAAGTTTGAGTGTTCCAAATTTGAATATTCCAAGTAGCAGTACTGCTTTCAATAAAAAGAGAAAATTGAATGAATTGGCGACTAAGCAGCAAAAAGACGAAAAATTAAAATCAGATACAACTAAACCTGAAACAGGTAATTATGTTAGTCTTCTATGACTTGTAGTGTTTCTGATGTATCCTTTATCTCATCTACAAAATAACTTTCTAATCCAGGCGACGAACCTTATCTACGGCTCTGTTTACGATTGCCTAATGGTGCAAAAGAAACTATATCAATGTGTGCAACAAATACCATAGAAGTATGTATTTAAATTTCCTCCTAAGATTGCACGATCGTATCGTGTGTAAAAAAAAAATATAATTGCACATTTTTTAGGACTTTTTAATTAAAATGGAGGAAATGGGTTTTCCATCAACAGAGCATACATTTTTGGTGCCATTCCCGAAAACAAACGTTGGTGCGTTATCTGCAAATACTCGTCTGCTAGATACGATCTTATTTCCAACGAACACAGTATTCATATCGAAGATATAGTAACTTTCTTTGAATAAGTAATAATTGCTTCCATTACATTTCCTTAGTTACGTTTTCTTTAGTTATATTATAATAATTGAGACATTCATTGAAAATGTTATCACTGTCATTTCTACATTACTATACGAAAAGAAAGAAAAGAGGGGAGGTTGTAAAAATTGTATAGTTAAAACTTTAGAATTTGATCTCTGTTCCTTAAAATTAATGAACCCATTATTCATATTTTTGTTTATTTAAGTATGTTTTAAGACACATTTAAAGAAACATTTTTTTATATAAGGTAAATGATAAAGGCACTGCCATTCAGTGTTCATGTCATACAAAAATGCGTTCATTAATCTTTTTATCTTAAATTAGAATTTAAGATTGTCAGAACTTATAAGAGAAAACAGTTGTATGCATAGTTACTGCCGAAGTATCGTCAAATAATATTATATTTTTTAGTTTCATTATTACCATTTTCGGAAAATCTTGCAAGTGCCGTCCATAATGCGTACAATCGTCACAATACTTTTGTTTGGAATATTTCGAAGGCACATACAACAAATTGTTATATTTTGGCAGTCATTTTATAGCATTATGTGATATAATGAAACATTTTGAAGCATTCTACGTGAAATTTTGTCAATGTGATTCAAGATACAGGACAAGTAAGGTACCATATTACAATATATATCACAGTTATCAATGAAAAAAATAAGATAATGAAAACATTTATATATATCGCAATACAAGATATATCAATGTATCATCTTTTCATCAAGATAATCAGTTCAAGTTACAACTGCCGATATAATTAAGATAGACATAGGTCAGGATAGTTTAAAATTATGAACTATAATTAATGTTAATAGAATATATTGATACTATGCATTGACTACAGATACATGTCTTGTCATCTGTATTTTTACTTATTTCTTAGAATTATGGTGTCATTCTGTAATATACACGGTAGAAAGTATTTCTCCTAGAGTGTACTTATATCAAATATATCATTTAATTAAATCGTATTAATATTCTCATATATATATATATATCTCCTGCACCACTTTTAAATTCTAGTCTTTTTGAAGCTTACTCGTCAGCAATTAAAGTATTACTTTAATTCTTGGTTCCATATATTTTTTAAATAAATGATCTTAGTTTTATGTATATTACAAGGATAGGGATATTGATTCACAAACATATATAACAAAACATGTGTACATGGTCTGATAATAAAAGTCCCGTATTCGGCAAGAAAAAGAAAACGGACAGATAAAAAAAAGTGGTTTTATTTTTTAAAATGGTCCCCTATCAAATCATGACATCAATACACTTCAAAACAAAGGCCACAGTTGCTATTCAGAGTACTTGTTACATCCTTCTAAACGCCCTCGATGTCTTAAAAACTTTTATCTTTTATAATATTTTTGAGTTTTGAGAACATAAAATTTAAAAAAGTTAATAAGATGAATGACTAATCTTAACAATTCTTTTCTTGATCAAAAACAATAAAGATTCTCTTGTCTATAAGAACATTGTCATGCAACTTTTTCGGTAAACATTTTTAAGATGTTGAAAATATTTAGAAGAATGTGATGAATGTTCTGAATAGCATTTCAATTACTCATTTAAAAATAGTTTTAAGGTTTTGTATCGAAGATGTATGAAGTGTTTATTTTATAAGTGACTAATTTAAAAGCTAGAAACAATTTGTTATCTAAGATATCTGTTTTTTATTGCTATAATCCGGAAATTTTATTGTCAGACTATATATACATATATATATATATATTAAAATACCAAAAATTAGAATGAAAATAATATAATATATAACAAAGTTTTGTGAAAACAATTCATTATGTGCGTATAGTTTACTTATATTCTTTATAAAATATATACATATATATACAAATTAATTCAAAATATTGTTTGTTCATAAATGTCATATGGACAAAGCTTCACAGTCATTTTGATTTTCAATTATTCACATGTATAATTCAGTATATTTATTATGGACACTATCTGAGCTATATATGGTATTCAAAAAATATATTCCCATTCAAAAAAATCCCTATTAAAATAGTCCTCACAATCACAAGAGAAAGTGTGTAACACAATTCTTAATATAAATATATAAATTTAATAATTTTTTGGTATTGTAAAAAAATATTTGGTATTATAATTCGTTGATTATAATAAACAACTATATAGTTCTGCGCCTAAAAAATTACATAGCACTAGTCGTTGTTTCCAGTTACAGGTATTTGCTACAAATTTATATTCTACAAATGCTACAAGATTTATTTCACTACGATAACATGTGGAACACTGTAGTCCAATTAAAACAGCAGTAGCAGCAAACATTAATGGTTATTGACATTAATTTTTGTCAATTTGCTATTGAACCTTAACTTGATGTACAAAGCGAGGTATTAGTGAGGCGGTTGCATGAGTGCTGTTTGTGCACGTAAAGTCATACCAGTCACATCTTCTGTAGAGTGAAATGAGAAAAGAATAAAAGAATATTAGAGATAATATAATTCATAAATATGATAAATATGATAGATTCTACATAATAGTATTAAATGAACAATAAATAAGTAATGTGCTGAAAATTAATATAAGCTGATATTTAAACTTAACATAAGTATCATCAAAGTTATCAACAAAATTCAACATGAACAAATAAATTCAACTAAAACAGATAACAAAATAGAACGTTGAGAGAAATGATATAATATTGTTAGTATGTAAGCAGCCTTTGAAATACTTATGAAGAACGTGTGATCAATTCTGGAGATAACACATGCTACTTTTCCTTTAAAAAATAAGAAAGAGAATTCAAATATTTTTATTCGTACATATGTTCAGTACATTATATAACATGATAATTTTTATGAAACAATTTTATAGTCAATCAACACAATAATATATTTAATATCAATATATTTTATCTACACTACAAAATGTTCTTAATGTATATATTTTTAGTAATAAATATATTATATTTGGGGATAATATACTCTGAATATATTACATATACATTATATGTACATACATATATAGTGGGTAAAAAAAATTATTAGAGAAAATATTAAATACTATCAGTATTAATAAATAATAACTTTGTTACTTTCATCGATATCAGCAAATATATAAAGATTTCATTAAATATTAACAATATATAAGCATTTAAAACATAACACGTACATATTATTTAGCAACTAGTTGAGAAAATATGATTTCATCGATAACAATGTATTGATTTTATTTCTGAAATTATTTTTGAAGCATCAGAATTTCTTTTTTGGTATTCTCTATATCCGTAAGAGAGAAGACCTAATATTATTGAAAAAATATATAGATATGACTATATCCATTAGCTTATTTAAAGCAGATTTAAAAATAAATGTCAAAGCTTCATAGTAAACGAATTGGTACTGTGTATATGTAGTAAGATTGTTAATAAGATTGCAAAGCATTTCCACTCGATCTATCTTAAGAACTTAAAAATAAAGAGCTACAGAAATTTATGAAAATAATTCTTCTTCCATACCCAGATGTTTCAGAAATACACCCATCGGCGTACGTTTCAAACCAATGCCCTCGATTTTATTGGCAATCCTATTTTTGATATTCCTTAATCTCAGTGAAGCATGTACAAATGTCACTGAAAAATAGAGATATATATATATATATAACTATTACAATAAAAATCAAGTGATTGCTTAAGAAATAAAATTAATAACGATATGAAATACTATGAAATTCACACTTACCACAGACAGGTAACAGAATGCCCAGGAAGAAAACTAAAAGAGATCCTAAGGTATATGTTATGAAACATCCAGCGAATATTATAAAGAATACTCCAACAACAGGATATTGCCTTTTGAAGTTATGTATTGTGCTTCCTTCCATGGATACATAAGCGAACGTACCCAAAATTGCCATCATTGCTAGCATACCAACTAGCATTTTCACTGGATGGATCAATCTATAAGAATTCATAAATTAACAAGTATAAAACAATACGTAAAAAGTACTTTAAGTTGATAATATTAGATGTAAATTTAGCTCGATTTCAAATTATTTCATTCAAGAAAGCTATATCATATGTCTAGAAAAAGTAGCAAAAGTCAGAAACTTGAAAATCTTTCTCAGGAAAGACTTGTAATCATGGAAATTCAAGAATCGCTATATGTCAACTTATAATAATACTCAGATCCATTTCAACTACTATATAGATTAACTTTAATCTTGGTTCAATTTTTTTTCTAATTCTTAGAATTAGAAGAAGTTAAAACGTATGTTAATCTACATAGAAATCAATGTACAGTCGAAGATCACTCACCCAACAATGAGGAAGATTACAACGGATGTAAACAAGTAATTAGTCTGATAGTACAGGAGATTGTTGACCACTCGGTTGCCCCATTTCTCGAGGTCTTTGAGATTCGGTAGTTGAAAGCGTGCGGACTCCAGCAGAAAGTCGTCCAAGCTGCGCAGCGGCGGCAACTCCAGGTCGTTGCTCACCAGCTTTGTCTTGTCCATCGTGGGTGGGTGGTGTCGAACTGTCTTCGACGATATTGCTCCGTTAGAATCAGCCGTGCGGTCTTCCCTCTCGATCGTTCTCTGCCGTCGACCGGTATTTTTGGACGATGACGAGTCCGGCGATGAATGTCATACGACGCCGACAATGTGTATTATTGCAGTCGTCGATCGGGAACAATTAATTGGAGTGGTCGCCTCTCCTTTATTGTCGGAGCAGCGCGAATCAGTCCAAAGAAACAAATCGTTTCGTGTACAAATAATAAATATAGACACTGACAAATTGCCTTCGATCGTTGTCAAAATGCATGCACGACTACGTTTCTCGAGGCGCTCTTGACAGGTAGAATATCAGATGATTCAGATGTTCCATGTCAAAATCTTTGGTCATGGCAGGAAGGTGCTTTATCGAGTGGGAGGATGACCTGCTTTTCCGCGACATTCAAAACAAAGACTTGGTATTGTGAATCACATTTTACTTCAAATATGAATAAAATGTTCAAGATGCATAAAATACAGATTAAAAAAATGTATGATAATGATATGTAATATATATAAATGTATGAATGAGGAATATATGTTGAATCTTTTGCTGATTTATACTTGTTTAATAAATGCGAATTATTATGTACAATATAAATTTATTCTATATATTAGATTAAATATTATTAAAAGCCGCATTTTTATTACATCTTTTTTTTATTACGATAGAAAACGATCTCCGTTCTTATATACTATATTTAAAATAGAAAGAATATATACAGGACTCTTAGTATAATTAAATAATTTCTAATGAAATAAAAAGGCAATTAAGAGTCAAAATACTATAAGTGTGATCTAATAATAGACCATTTAATATTACATTATAAATTAAAATAAATTAAAATTCACACTAAAAATACACGCACGCAATCAAATTAAAATATAACATATTTTGGAAGTCAAAAACATTACGTACGTTTCGGCTGCATATATATTCGAGCCCTCCTCAGATATACATACAAATATTAATTAACGCAATAAATTTTTTTATTATTAACGCAGTAAAATTAACAAAATTATATCGGTAATGGAGTTATATGGACAGTTATGTTTAAAGAAAGTTGAGTATTTCCACAGAGAGAACAAAAAGCGATTGGATGATCGTTTTTGTGATGTATCCCTGTGTGTGGTTCCTCGAGTGCAAAAAATCGAAAAAATCCATGTCGTTAAAACAGTTATTTTTACTTATAAAATCGGTGACAGTAAAAAATCATTATTTTGTTTTCACCACATTGCAAATGCAAGTCGTCCGAAATATAAAAATCTTTATAACCGTCAAACTATAACTCGACGTACGAAACTATAATGACTTATATATATTAAAAGATAATAAATAATTCTTTTTTACGTAAACGCATTTTTGTAATTTAAATTAAACGCTATTGCACACACATATGTATTATATATGAAATAGTACAACGTGAAATGGTTTCGTAAAATATATAATAATGCTAGATTAGTAACGGATGAACTTTTGTCGATATTGGGATGCGTGTAAATAAATATTTACAAAGAACAGCGCCGATAGACATCCATAAGTAGAGGAAGGTCATTAGAACTAACTGAGATTTTATAAATTTTTAAGCAAGTTGTGCAGGTCATTTTTGCAAAGCTTTTATTTTGTAATTTCTGAAAGTATAAAATATATAAAAGAATAATAACCAAAAGAAAATCAATTAATAACGCTTTTCTCGATTTTAATAAGCATTCAATCGTCGCTTTATGTAATATTTTTCGATTCTGCGAACAGCTTATATGAAGATGATGCACGTATGGCCGGAACAGATCATACATTTGTACAAATGCTTCCTCAGATGCTTTTGTTTATGAAGTTTTATTATCTTTAATCTAAAACACGTCTGTCTACTAATCAATCTCAAAGTTAAAATTTAAAGAAAAAATATTAGTACTATAAAATATATTAGATACGTAAGTATTATAGTTTTTGTTTTTATCATTGTTTAATATGTCGAGAGATGTTTAATAATAAATAAAAAGAAATTGCAAAGAAAAGTAAAGGGAAATTCATTCTTATGGAAATTACGAAAAATAGTTAAATTAACTAATTTGTCTTATTAATTCCACAAGCACTTTTGTAAGATTGTCAAGAGAATATTTTTATAATTTATTGGTCAAAAAGTATTATTTATAATTATGTTACATAAAAATTTACGTTGCGTGAAAAATTAAAACTTTTTAAATTAAAAATAGAAAAATACCGATTTGCTTTGAATTATTCTATGCTCTTCCTGCAAAAGACTCTTCTTCGACTGCTAAAGACTATAACTTAATAATGTTTAGATTTATTTTGAGTTTACATAAAGAACGACACTGTCATTTAACTTTTTTTTAAGTAACGCTTGACGAATCATTGTGATGAAATGAGTACTAATCTCAACGACGGGGATATTTAGGGTGCAAAATGTAAATAAATCACATTATACATTCCGCAAGGAATATTCGTGTATCTTGTTTACAAAATCAAACATGATACTTTTAGCTTTCTTTGTTACAAAATCCGAGCTAAAACTCGACATACAGGCTCTTTAAAACAGATATACAATAGACATTCATTTAGTCAATCTTGATTGTTTCTTAGTACAATAGCAAGATAATCTCTGTGATTATACAAATACAGGAAATTAAATATTAATAACACGCGACAATTTCTGCACCCTATTGAGTAGAAGATCCCCTTGCTTTACCATCGCTTGATATTGCCAATTCTTGCTATCCGGTCGATTCGTTTCAACTACACCTCCAACTCTATCAACTTTGCAATGTAATCGGCCTGCTGCTATGAAGCGTGACAGTTCTCTACAAAAATAATATTTTCAACAATATTAACAGTGGACTTTGGTGCTTAATAATATCTTTGAAGATTGTTTATTTTTACAATTTCCAGTTTAAGTAAACTACGAGCCAATTATGTATTTGTCGGTCTTGAAACAGTCTTAAATTAAAATTGCAAGTTATAATTTTTATTAAATGAAAAATTAAAATAAAATTAATTAATATTTGTTTGGCTCCGAGAATAAATCCAATTTTGATTCTGAATTTTCTTTTTCTGTGTGATGAATATATAATTTACAAAAACCGCAGGCTCACATAGGCATTTTATTTGTATTTAATTAAATTACGTTAAAATTGGTAACAAACTCAATAAAAATTAGTAGTAATTACTTACTGATCTATGTATTCTACTGTAACGCCAAATGCTTCAGCCATGTACTGAAGAGTTAAAGATCGATAGGATTCCAGTAGTTGCGTATATGCGAGAATTCGCATCTCCCGAACATAATACCGATAATGAGGAAATATCAAATAATCTCGACGTAGCAATCCTTCAACATGCGCTGAAACAGTGTTGTAATAATTATGAAATCCTTCAAATATAAAGTAAAATTTAAACTGTCTTTCACACTTACCAAGATTCTTGAAAAAATCTGCATAATGACAATTATACAATGAGAACAAGTAATCCTTGACGTCTGAATTACTGTGAAGAACCTCCAATATCTCAGAGCCCTTAATAATTTTATCTCTCAGTTCATTCCGCGGAAGACTTATCATACTTAAGTATACTGTATATCTCACAAACGTGTTATAATCCATGAGCTCATAACTTGTAAATGTGCTAATTGTATCCAAAAAGAAGTTTGCGGCTTCCTTGAAGTTACGAACTGCTATGCAATATATTCCCTGATAAACTTTCAAACGATTTCGTCTATCCCAATCGCCACCTTCTTCTATCAAGCTGCAAAATACAAGTAAAATATATTAATTGTTACAAAATATATAATATCAACATAAAAATATCTTCTTTTTGTTTTTACTTACCTTTTAGCTTTCTCAATATTTCTAGTGATGTGATCATGGTCCAGATAGAACAAGCCGATCCTAATATTGTGAAATATAATATCTAATCTGTGTCCTAATGATACTGTCTTGTCATAAGTTTTCCTAAATGCCGAGATTGCACCTTCTTTATCACCTATTCGACAGAGATATTCAGATTTCTTTAAGTTGGCTTCTCGAACCTCCATCTCGCCTAAATTTTTCTCAGCATCCTCGATAGCATCGTCGAGTTTTTTTAACTGTTCTGCGTTATGTGTCTTCATCGTTGCGAGAAGAGTTTCATCTACAGGCCAATTCAGGTCTTTGCAAACCTCTTCATAGAATGGAGCCATATCTATTCATAAAAATTGTTTATTTATTATATTTAAAACAAAAATTATATTAAGAACTAATAATAATTAATCATTAAAAAATTAATAAACTGATTAAAGCAGTTAAAAGTGGAGGTTATGTTTCGAGTAATAATAGATGACGTATCCAGTAATATTTCGAGATAAGAAGAAAGGAAACGATATCTAAGGCATTATATTAAACAAACTGAGTTACGTTGTTGAAAATTACATCAAACTTTTTGAAATAATACAACAAGCAGTCGAGAGAAAAAGATGCAGTCTCACTGTCAGCTTTGATGGCATCTAGGAGTTTGGTCTTCAAATGAACGTCATCTACGTGTTCGCGGAGACCCAGTAAGAACTTCGTCTGCGCCAGCTCCAAATTCGGGTTCTTCTCCAAACCCTCCTCCTCCAGATTCTCCAACGGCATTGTGAATTATCGAATAATTTTCAGAACAGAACAACACCCGTAATGAATTGGAGGGACACCTTCCCTTTTTAGGTTAAATAGCTACACTTCAGGCGTTCGCAAGCACTTCAGGTAGAGAGAGTGAGAGAAGCAATGCCAACCTTTTTCCTCTGTCGAATCGTCTTGTATACTATCGCTATAGACACATACAGTTTCAATTTGAGAACTACGTGGCTATAATATTTATTTCTGACACTGTCGATAAAATTATAGTATAGAGAATTGGAGACAAACAACGTAATTTCCAAATCGAAAACGGATGTATTAATAAGCATTATGTTCATATTCGACAATTTGTAAGATTAATATCGATATATTTTCGCTAAATCTATTTCCCAATATCGCGTGTATATATGTATATAAAAATAACATAACGTCGTATGTTTTTCATTTCATACACAAAATGCAGAGCATATAATTAACGATATTATTATAACACATTTAATACTTCTAATAATAAAATAAGGGGCCTATTCTGTAAATTATATCGTTATTAAATGATGTCTATATGTAATGACTGTGTTTGAGCGCTGATTGGTGAAAAGCGGATGAAATTTTACTCCCACAACCGGTTTTTTTATCAATCAGCGTTCGGTGTTTTTTAGCATGTCTGTAAAAACAGCAGAATAACAAACATGATAAGCAGTGTATGCTTTGTCGTTCTTCATTATATAAAATGATATTAATTCATCCAATAAATCTTTAGCGGTCTGCACATCAAATCGATATAATTTTTTAAATAATTTAAATAATTCTTCAGGTATTTCAAATGGATTGCTCACATCTCTTAAATTTCTATTTATTCTTCTTCTTATATAGGAGAGAGAAAAACATATATATTTATATAAAAGAAATTAAATTAAAATATACACATACAATCATTACTAATGGACTCCTTATATATATTTCAATAAAAACGAAGAAAATTTAATTTGGCTAAAAAGAGAAGTCAACGCGGTAAGAAGTTTGTAGAAAAAAATATTCAATAAAAAGTATGTATAGTTATTTCGGCTATTTATTTTAACCATCTTCAGCAAAACATTTGGCTCGTAACCCTTCTCATTTTACTTTTATTTAATTTATTATTTGAGCCATTCTACATTGTTTTTTTTTTTTAATAAAACTATATATTTGTTAGTATTACATATAAAAAAAAATGCAAAAGTACATTTTTAAATTGATTTTAAAAAAAGTAACGGAAAAGTAACGAAAAGTTATTTTTTAAGTAACGGTAACTGTAACGAGTTACTTTTAAAAAGCGATAACTGTAACTGTAACTAGTTACATTTTTACTCGGTAACGAGTAACTGTAACTAGTTATTTTTAAAAAGTAACTTTCCATTCCCTGGTTATTACTTATAGATCCAACCAATCATATTCAAGTGTATCTATAGCCGCTTCGTCATCTTGAATTCGCCCATTTTGACACGGAATCTCCAAGCAAGTCACAATTATCAGCCAAACACAATTATCGGCCAAAGAAGTTTCCATATGCTTGTTGGTAATGAAATTATATATGTTTTCTAAATATTATAATAAAACTAATGTTTGAACAACGTGTTTTGCTTCAACGTTCAATAACTCGGTGAAAAAAAATCGTATAACGTTCAGTAAAAAAATAAATTAAAGGTCAAGATTCACTCTTTCGATTGCTTCGAGTCGCATTTTCGGGTAATTTTTACTTCACGCCATACATCTTTGTAAAGTTTGTGAAAAATTTTTGGATTTGATGGATATCCATTTGTATCCATAAAACTCCGTAAAATATCAGTCATATTGAAATTTCATTATAGATTTCGAAAATAGAGATTTCACCCTTTAAAATGCTTTTTTAATTTTTTGTATGCGATGATTTTTCACCGAGTTACGGTGTTTTGAAGATTGCCCAATTTTTAGCGTGTTTGAAAGTGTTCCCTATTTTTTGTTGACTAGTGTATATTTAAATTAATTGACGTAATTGACCAAAATATCTTATGCTTACCAAGCGGACCCAAGGAACACAAAAGAAAGATACACACTCACTTAATATTAATCTCCAATAATAAAATAAATACAGTAATAACTTCATCAAATTTCAAAATAAGTCTTAAAAGAGAAAATCGTCTAGACTCTGCCATGTTCTAATTGACTCTAACATAATTTCTATTTATTATATATTTTGTTTTTTCAATTAAGAATGCAATCCGCCTTTCAGTTATTGTCTTAAAAATATAAATTAATATATACTATATGTGCATAGATCTAATGAAAATTGTGCTTAAATCTCTTAAATAAGAGAAGAAGTTTTCGAGTACTTAACATAATCGTTGTGTAATTATAATGTATTCGAGTATGAATAAATTGGTAGAACATTTTTCTTTTATATATAGCAGCAATTCTTTCAACGAATTCGTTAGTAATATGCCTTTCTGGAATGGTAAAAGAGTTTGTTTTTTACCAACTCTGTCAATGATGGAAATGAACTGATTCTCCAAAATTTCATTTTGATGTTCCAGTTTCACCGTAAGCACGCGAGCCGCTGTGGGGTCCAAATTTTGATTGGCTATTCAATACATCGAATCAATCATTAATCAGAAGTAAAACTGCTATATATAGTTCCTGTCAATAACAGTTTTGTAAAACAAATCCCTTTCTTCCGCAATATTCAATGACTAATGCATTCCGAGAAAAAACTTGTGCCGCTAATTTATTTGTTTGTAACTGATGTTCTTTGACGCAGAGATGATTTTTACTTAAATTGAAAGCACTCAATTTTAAATCGTTAAAGTTGAGTAAAGTTCTTCCAAAATTCGCTTCGTCAACATTTTCCCATCAACAAAAAAATCGAAGTCAATAAAATTATTATTTTAATAATTTGATCAAATGAGGAGCGTCTACAAAACAAACATTTTTAAAGATTTATCTACCGGATGTTTAAAAAAACTTTTCTTCTCTCGGGAATCTTTGTTCATGCTGTGTAAATTAATAGTATTAACTCTTACATGCGACGCAAGGAATATTTTAAGAATCTATCGCTTCCAAGTTTTTTTAATAAAACATATACGCTCATAGATTGAATTTTTTACATGACTTTGATTGGGACAATATCAAAATTCTTGATAGAGAAAATATTTTAAACAAAAGACTCATTTCAGAAATGATCCACATACACAGACAAAAGAATAGTTTAATGACTGTTTACTTACCAACATTTGACTTCTAAATCCATGACACATGTATTGAAATCACATATACTTTTATAACGTATATTCACATTATCATATCAGCTCATGACCACGCAATGACATATCAATTTTATTTCTATACTCATCAATACAATTCCTTATCATGTAAATTTGTACATTTTATCTTCTAATAACATTTTATAAATTCATAATTCAATAACATCTTATAAATTCATATTAACACAATACTACACTACATCTCATATCATTTCTGATACTTTCACAATTATACACTTACCTCACAATTTTGTTATATATTACATTATTATTACATTTTACACAACACTTTACAACAATCAGTATGAACATCACTTATGTATATGTATATTGTATTCAACAATATAATTCTACACAATATTGTTATTTTACATTGTCATCTTACATTAAACTATTTTAATTTTACATATTATATTATCAATACTTACATACATTTTACAACACATTTGAAATTATCTATAAGAACATTGTTAATTTATATCGTTTATTTCAATTATTATACACAATTTTGTTAATTCATTTTAAACAATTAATTCATTCACAATAGTTATACACAATAATGTTAATTTATTTTAAACAATTAATTTATCCACATCATATTGTAAAGTGTTCCAGGCAGCACAATGATATATATGTAATTGCATTTTGATAAGGATCCAAACTAAGATCGAAACGTTGATTGATGTAATTTCTTCTTCACTGTTTCCACTACACACCAACATCAAGTGTATTGACTCGATTAGGCATTTTTTTTTTTTATTCTTGGATTTTCATCTCACGAGTCTATATCATCACCAATTTTATTATATATTTATATACGCTACAGTTTAATACCATATGAAATATAATTAACTTAGCATTTACTTCTTATAAATTTAAATATTGCATAAAGTAGAGTCTATAGTATAGTGCTAACCAAGAAGACTAGAACCAGGAGAGTAAACTCGGTCAAATATCGGTAGTGGGGGTAGGCCAAAAAGTGACGGCGGATAACTTCCCCCACTCTTGCGCTTCATTAGTCCTCTCTGTCGCTCTGATAGTCGTTTTCAATTCGTGACTGCGCATGTCAAACCTTGTTTCTGTTTAATTGAATTTTGGACTCAAGAAGACTAAAAATCATACATATTTCAATATATGTTGTTCCAACGACGACGGAAATATTAATAATATTCTGTAAATAAAAAAAAATTACTGTAATCATACTCCAAAATTTGTATACAATACAGAATTTACCTATAAACAAGTTATTTAATATACAGTATAATTTCTTTTTACAACTTACATTCTGTTTAAGATGGTTTAAGAAGATTTTTTTCTTTTTTAAGTGTATCCCTCGGATGAGGGGAAAATAAAGCGTCTCTAGCCCTACCCTTTTTGGGCTATATAACGCCGAGAAGACTTCTTGATAACGCAAAGGTTAAGAACAAGACTTCTTGGTTATAACCGACGCGCGCATGCGCAAACTTTCATTCAATGTGCAATGCCACTGCGCATTGAATGAATAACCGCGGACGTTTTTTGACCTACCCCCACCACGCTAGTTTACTCTCCTGGTTCTAGTCTTCTTGGTACTAACACACTGATTATTGGGACGAAAGTATTTTTCGCAATTAATATATGTTCGTTTGGTCGAAAATCAAGACGTGCAAGCGTAGTCGTGTGTCATCGCATTTACATCATTTTTTATTACGCGTGAAGTTGACCACGCTCAAAACACGACGGTCACTATGTGATACCTCCAATCCAATCGTTTATCCATTATTTCATGAATTTCGTACCTCGAGCGAATAAATCTGGAAAATATCTCTTATTAGAAAAAAATACCTCTTATATCAGTAAGTAACTCGAAATGACATTTTTATTTCA